CAGCCCTCAGCTGTAAGTACCTACGAGTATGGGTATTTCCACAGTGCACATAACGGCGAGGAAACAAGATATCCTACAGTTTTTTTAAATCTATCCTAAATCGGGTGTTGGCTGCGCCATAGCTCAAGCGGTTAGTCGCTGGCTTCCCACCGCGGCCCGGGTTCGGTCCCGGGTCTGGTTAAGTGGGATTTGTGGTGGACAAAGTGGCGCCAGGGCAGGTTTTCTCCGAGTACTTCTGTTTCCCCTGACAATCTTCATTCCACCAATTGCTCCACAATCACCCTCACCTATCATCTGGGGCTGGTACAATAGGTCAGAAGTTGCCGCAGTACAAGGGACTTAGTCCCACCCCACTAGCAATAAAAATAAAATAAATCGGGTGTCAGTCCACAGCGAGTAATGACATACACTTCACTTTGTGGAACGATGCGTGGGGAGAAGCATGTAGCGGTGTTGCGCTGTTTTCTGCAGGATGAAACGTCTGAGAACGGTGAGGGGGACAGCCACCAACATTACCGTTTCTCCTCGCCTTCTCCTCGCTTGCGCGCCATAATATTTCATCCATTTATGGTGCAAGTTCAGCTACCTTGTATATACTAAAAAATGTTCAGGAAATTAAGACGTCCTCTAGGGACTCCTGTTACAGTGTTTCAGGGCATATTAACTTCATGGACCTGAGCTATTCTTGATAAGCTCTTGCAGATACTCAAGAAATTCCCAATATTTTATGGAAAACGTAGGTTCATTACAACGTTCACAAGAGCCCTCCAATGGTTTCTATCCTGAGCCAGATCAATCTATCCATATCACCCCATCCTATATCTCTAAGATCTATATTAATATTATCCACCCACGTACTTCTTGGTCTGCCTCTTTCCTTCACCAAAATCTCATATGTATTCCTCTTCTCTCCCATTCGTGCTACATGCCCTGTCCATCTCATCCTCCTTGACTTGATCATTCTATATATACTTGGCGAAGAGTTATGAAGCTCCTCATTATTCAATTTTCTCCAACCTCCTGTCACTTCATCTCTCTTCGGTC